TGTTGCCTGTCGGTGATGACTGATGTTCGGTGGAGTGACTCCCTGGCTCATTGGGTGGTGGGAACCAACAGTCTGTGGTGTTCACCCGTGATGTGAGTAGGTCATCTGCTGCTTTGCTCCGTGTTGGATGTGTGGGCTGCCTTGTGCTGTTTGCGCTTCACCGTTGCCTTGCTGCATATCCAGCTTGGGTCATGTGTTGTTCGTTGTGTGTTGTTACGTTCACTGTACAGTCTAGTTGTGGTAGTCGTGTTGCATTGTGCTTCGCCGCGCTGCTTCCAAGCTGTCCATTCATGTGTCGTGCCTTTTGGGTTCCTTGCTTGTGGGTCGTGTAGTGTGGTGGTCTTGTGTTTGTTGCCTTGTGNGCGCTGCTTCCAAGCTGTCCATTCATGTGTCGTGCCTTTTGGGTTCCTTGCTTGTGGGTCGTGTAGTGTGGTGGTCTTGTGTTTGTTGCCTTGTGCTTCATTACACGGATGTTGTGTTGTGCCTCCACTTGTGGTGTTATTCCTTCCAGCCGCTTGTGTCGTTCTGCAGTTGAGTGACTTCTGGTGCGTTGCCTGGTGCTTCGCAGAGTTGTTTCTTGCTGCGGTCCGCAGTTTGACGTGTTGTTCCTTGCAGTCATTTTTGGTGTTGTGCGGTTGAGTGGCTTCGGGTGTGTTGCCTGGTGCTTCACACCGGTGTCGCTCGCTGCTATGTTCCGCTTGTGGGCAATCTGCCTTCAACAAGGGTCAAAGGGTTCATGACCCAAAACATCCAAAACCGGTACTCCACAGATTGTCGAGGGTTCAGCCTCCTGATGAGTCGGTGCAATTCCGACGAAACAATCTATCATCAGTTTTATTTTTTTCAGTCTTTGCTTTGTTTATACTTGTATTTTTTTCTGTCTTTGCTTTGTGTAAACTTGTACTTTTTTCGGGTGTTGTTTTTGCATTGTTGACGTTTGTCTTGCTGTTGTTTCCCTCGCTGCGTTATGATGTATGCTTGTCCATCTGTTTACCCCATGCCTTTCACCCAATTTGCTTTGTTGTTTTGTGCTGTCTGCCTGCCCACCCGCCTCCCCCTTGCCCTCCAACCTTTCGCTGTTGCACGTTGTTCTGTGCCTTGTCGATTCTCTGACGTCGTTCTTTTTCTAGTTGTGATTGTCTTTTGCTTTCCTTTTGTGGTCTTGTGGCCTCATGCCTTCGGGCCATGGTCCTGTGGTGTTGGCAGGATTGGTCAAAGATAGAGGTCGATGTATGCACATCTGTTGCTTTTGTGTTTGGGGTGTATGAGCCTTCTCCATACGATATGGATCACTCAACCTTCTGATGGTATAGCTTCTAGTTGCACTTTCAAGCGCAGCTCGCCGACATTAGCATCGCGGTAGCGTCCTGTCTTCATAAAACACACACACAGCGGGGGAATGTACATGTCCCCCCTTTTGCTATCAAGGGGGTCGATTCCACCTTGTCGAGTTGTGATAACGTGCATGGCCTCAATACCAATGGCAAATGAGTTTGCTGTTAGTTCATGGTGATGGACGCCATCCTCAATGGAAGCCCCCCCGTGCATCTGACTATCCTCTTGACGTTTTCATCTAAGTATCCTACCTGTTATTGTGTGTGCATGTGTTTGTCTGTATGCGTGTGCGGGGTACATGGGGCACGAGGCTGAATGGCCTAGTGCCCCTAGACACTAGTCCATCCGGCCTTCCGCATAGAGGGAATGTGGGTGGGACACACACACACACACACACACACACAATCAATTTTTTGTTTGTTTGTCTTTCTTCTGTTGTCTGTCCTCCCTCTGATTTTTTCTAAGTTTTCTTGTGTGCCCAACTGAGCACCCTTAAGAAGTGCCAAATAGTCGGTGGTCCCTCGTTTGGAGTGCCAACTGCACTTTTAGGGGGTTGCTTGGTTCGGGGCGTCTGTGTTGCCTGTCGGTGATGACAGATGTTCGGCGAAGTGACTCCCTGGCTCATTGGGTGGTGGGAACCAACAGTCTGCGGTGTTCACCCGTAATGTGAGTAGGTCATGTGCTGTTTTGCTCCGTGTTGGATGTGTGGGCTGCCTTGTGCTGTCTGCGCTTCACCGTTGCCTTGCTGCATATCCCGCTTGGGTCACGTGTTGTTCGTTGTGTGCGGTTACGTTCGTTGTGTAGTCTGGTTGTGGTTGTCGTGTTGCCTTGTGCTTCGCCGCGCTGCTTCCAAGCTGTCCATTCATGTGTCATGCCTTTTGGGTTCCTTGCTTGTGGGCTACGAATCCCCCTCGGCGGCGGCCATCCGCGGACAAGTCCGCGGTCGCGGCCTAGGCCGCGACCCCACAGACGTGTCCGTGGTCCGCGGCAATGAAAAAAAAAAAAAAAAAAAAACGAATTCAAAAAATTCTGAAAACAAAATATGTTATGCAGAAAACTATACAGAACAACTTTTGCCTTGTGCTCATATCCAAAAACGTTACTGAATTTAAAATGAAAAATCACATACGTTTCATGTTTTTTTTTTGGGAAAAAAAAAAAACAGCTTTTGCCTCGAAGACGAAGTCAAAAAATAAAATAAAAAATTATGCAATTTAGACCTCGAAAAGATCTACAACCCCATATTTTTTGTTTGTTTTTTTGATAAATTTTTAAGGTCAGAAACAATTCCTGAAAGTGGCGGCCGCACCCAACCGCGGCTGGAGCCACGGCGGATGTGATCACTTCCGCCCTCCGAGCTTGACTTCGTGGACGCGTCCACGGGTGTTTCATAGCTTGTGGGTCGTGTAGTGTGGTGGTCTTGTGTGTGTTGCCTTGTGCTTCGTTTCACGGACGTTGTGCTGTGCCTCCACTTGCGGTGTTATTCCTTGCAACCGCCTGTGTCGTTCTGCAGTTGAGTGACTTCTGGTGTGTTGCCTGGTACTTCGCAGAGTTGTTTCTTGCTGCCGTCCGCCGTTTGACGTGTTGTTCCTTGCAGTCGTCTTTGGTGTTGGGCGGTTGAGTGGCTTCGGGTGTGTTGCCTGTTGCTTCACACGGGTGCCGCTCGCTGCTATGTTCCGCTTGTGGGCAATCTGCCTTCAACAAGGGTCAAAGGGTTCATGACCCAAAACATCCAAAGTCGGTACTCCGCAGATTGTCGAGGGTTCAGCCTCCTGATGAGTCGGTGCAATTCCGACAAAACAATCTTTCATCATCAGTTTTATTTTTTTCAGTCGTTGCCTTGTTTATACTTGTATTTTTTTCGAGGCTGTTTTTGCATTGTCGTCGTTTGTCTTGCTGTCGTTTCCCTTGCTGTGCTACGCTGTTTGCTTGCCCATCCATCTACCCCATGCCTTTCACCCTGTGTGCTTTGTTGTATTGTACTATTTGCCTTGCTGTGGTTTCCCTCGCTGCCTTTCGCTGTTTGTTGGACAAAGGAGTGTTACAATACTCGGTGCAACCCCTGGGTAATTAGTTTCGTACATCCGAAGTAACCATCGTTCAAGGGTCTGCATTATCTGAGAAGGCGTTCTGTATTGTATAGTTTGCTGCGCTGTTTTTGGCGTGGTGGCTTCCTGTTATCGCAACACACACACACACACACACA